CAACTGTCAGTTTCATCCTTGAGCGGAACGTACGCAAAGTGCCCATTCTGATGCGGCTATAAAACGACAGACGAGGAAAGTTAAGATGATGTGGCGCTTATGGAAAGACAGACAGGCAGTCAATCGCATGGGAGAGTGCCGAGGGTGGTGTAGTTTTGGTGGTTTGGCCTTTTTATGGGTTTTTGAATTTATTAATATATTTAGAATGTTTTTTATGCGTTCATTCATCTTCATTATAATGCGTATATAAACGTGCGCATAATGTTTAAATTTTCTTAATTATTATTTTTTTTTTTGTAAATAAAGCTGCAATCAAAAAAAGAAGGCTGTGTGCCATAACCTGCGCTCGCGCCTTAATCGCAAGCGAATTTTATAAATTTCTTCCATTATTCGTATACGCTGAAATAGTTGCTACAAACAGATTTTATTAATTGCAATGTTTCAAAATTTCTACTTATACATAAATCTTTCACATGCATATAACTTTCCGTTAACACTTATGACACATGGAAACGTATGAGCAGTCAGCGGCTTGATTTATTACATTTTCCATTAAATTCTTGCTCTCTTCTTCTTCACCTCACAGCTCACTGTTGCTAAACATGTGGTAATACAAAATTTTCGCCAACCCAAATTATAGTTTTCAATATTTTTATTTCGTATGTTTCCTGTTTGTTCTTCGCCATCAAACATAAACAAATTACACGCCTACATATGTACATATGTATGTAGGTACATAAATATGTATGTATGTAATTATATTTTTGGCACAAAAATTGCGTAAATTAATGCTTTTTCCGCCCCCACTCCACGCCGGCATTACTCAATTGGTAAGTCTTTAAAGTGCCTGCCAAACGTCACTGACGGCCACGATTGACAGTCGTTTGTTTGGTTTTGCGTCTGTCTGTATCCATCAGCTCGACGATCAGCTCCACTGTCGACTGGTGCGCCGCCACACGCCCGCCCGGTTGTTGACGTGTGCGCTCATTTTCTTCTGTGAAAATTTTAGATTTTCCTCTTCGTTCCACCGCTGGCAGTGGTTCAATTTCGTGCGATGCGTATTGGTATATGGAGGCCATGTGGTAGGCCTGCACTTGTCAGTGTATGCACCACACTTATGTAGGTGCATGCACTTTGCTTCAATGAAAATGCTTTTAAAAATAAATGTCACAACGTTCGCTCTCAGCATATTCTTCTCTTAGCCGCACTGTGGTTCCTGCGCGGCAAAAATTCAAAAAGATTAAAACTTAAAAAAAATAATTTTTTCATATTTTTCCGATTAGCTGGGGGTTCTGAAAAAGTGAATAAATTTTCTTTGTATGCTATATACTTTTCAAGAAAAATTGGAGAAGTCGTTTTAATGTTAGTAGTTAATAATCCTGCATAATTTTAATCAAAGTTTAATTTATATGGTCTTATGCTGTGTGAATAATTTTGGCAATCTTTTAGGGTTTTTATATTACATATATGTACATATATAAGGCCTCAAACGAAATGTAAAATAAAAATACTCCGGTTACCATATTCTTGCCCGTTCGAAATTCTTGTTTTTTATGGAAAAGGTGCTACCGCGTGCTTCACTCCGCCATTTATCAATTCAATGGAATAAAATCTTTCAAACGAGTTGCAGCCCCCCTCAAAAATATTCTCAGCGGTCAACTTTCCTAAACCTCTTCAGTTTCATACCCACGGTGCATTATCAAATTTATGTATCCATTGTATTTAATTAAAATTTTCAAACAGGTGGGAACCTTCCACAAAATTATTTTCGGCTGTAAGTCTTCTTAAACTTCTTTCCTTTATCTTATAAAAATTAACTTAAACTGCATTTTTCAAACAGGTGGAAACCCTGTATTTTTCCTTTCTAATATTTTATGCTAGACGTCTCGAAATACATCGGTGAAAACTCCATCCAATTCCATGCATTAGTTTTCGAGTGACGCGCACAAACATACAGACATATAGACAGACAGACAGACAGATAGACAAACAGACAAAATTTCGAAAAATTGTTGACTTGGCTTCTTGTGCTTTAATAAAGACCCCCCTTATATTAATTTTTCATTAATATCGTACTTTTGTGGCCAAATTTGGACGAAACCGAAGGCTGAGTTTGGTTGTTCACTAGCTTTCTTCATTAATAAATGGAATTAGAGCTTTAAAGCTGTTTTTTATCCTTGAGGACGTGCCTCCGTCTGCCCAACAGAGCAGTCCAAATTGACCAGTTATTCATCGTCATTGTCTAATATAAAGTTTCCAGATTCTCTGAAACTCAACCTGGCGGAGCTTAGCTTTTGTGAAACTAAGTAGACATTGTTAATCAATATGATGTTTCTACTGAAGTACATGTGCTCCGCTCATCCAATCTAAAAGTCAAATTAGTGGAGAACGTAAATCTGCTGGTACGTAAACTCGAGTCAGCTGACACTATTTATCTTACCAGAGCGCCAATTTGTCACTTAACTCAACAACGCAGAATTATTCTGTATTTGTGGCCCGTAGCGTAGAAATTCTCGTGTAAGGAAATGAATACCATGGTTATCTCAATAACAGTCCCAGTGTGATGCGGTTATAGTAGGGTTATTCATACCGATCTCGTTACTATTGTAGTGGCAAGTAACGAAACTCTCAGCTTGACAGATTGGCCGACAGTCAGTAAATACATAGCATGCAGTAGAAGATTTCATCAAGTTTTTTCCTACCAGACAATAGCCAAACAAAAAAATAGAACAAGAAGGAGCTACGAGTATTTTAGTAAGACTACTTCTTTATTTTGCTCTCTCCTAAAGTAACAGGTCTTTCACAGCAAGACTCTTCCATCGGACTGCCGAAGTAACTAAATGGGTGTGAATACCCCTAGTGTTAGGTACTGAGCTTTACCCCTCACAACTTTAATCAGTCCACGACCATTGACCAGATTTTCATAGTGCGTCACATACTGGAAAAAACACTTAGGGCTGGTTTCTCGAACTCAACGTAACTTAGTTTAGCCATTTTCGGGACTTAAGTCAAAAGTTAGCCTACTTTTTGCACAGCTTATTCTTGACTTAGTCTAAAAAATTGGCTAAACTAAGTTAAGTTGAGTTGGAGAAACCAGCCCTTAGACAATCAAATCGTCACGAATAACTATACTTGAAAGATCTGCTAACGAGGAGGTCTCAGCGTTATTCTGTTTGTATTTTAGCCATAAGTTTCCAAAAAATTTAATTAAATACATATTTTTCTTTTTCAAACGATAAAAACTGAAAATTAAATAAATTAAATTCAAAGAAGCTAAAATTAAATTTGAAAAATATATAAAATAAAATAATTTTCAAAAATAAAATCTAAAAATTAAAAGAAATTTTAATTTAAAAAGAAAACTGATTAAATTAAAAAATTAAGTAAGTTACTACAAATTAAATAAAATTAAAAGAAAATTCAAATAAAAAAACAAACAAAAATTTAACTAAATTAAAGAAGAGAAAAAAAATAATTCCTAATAATTAAATTAGATCAAACAAATTTTTCTGTTTAAAACAACAAAATCTGAAAATTAAAGAAAAATTTAATTTAAAAGAAAAAAACAAATTTAAATAAGTTTCTAAAAATGTAATCTAATTAAAAAAATATACAGAGGCATTTCTTTTTAAAACAATAAAATCTATTCTTTAATCTACATACATCTTTACATTTTTGGGTATGCAGTTTTATAGCCCATACCATTTTCTCGATGAAGTGCTAGTTTCAAGTGGCTAAAAAATCGCATGATTTTTAATAATTTTTTTGCTGACGAATTGTGCACTTTTTTCCATAAATAAATAAAATGCGGGGACCGTTCGCAACAAAATTTCAAAAAACCTGTTATATAGAAAACCCTAAAAGTAGTCACCAAAAAAAAAATTCTCAAAAATCAACGAGAGTTTTTAGCCCGCTGAAACTTGCACTTCCCTAGACATAAATTGTATTGGCTATGAAATCGTATACCCTAAAATGTTCTAGAAATTCAGATGAAAACTTAGATGAAAATTTGTGTAATTTTCCTATATTTTATATAAAGTTTGAATCAAAAGTTAAAGTTTGGAGCATGCTCAATTGATTTCTGTCAAAAGAGCTTTTCTCCATGAAATTTGACAAGGGATCTTCTTTTTGTTAGACCTTCGCGGCAGAATAAACAAAATATTTCAAACTATCTTGCCTACTGCCTTTCAATTGTCTTACAAAAGACTTGCAACTTTCTTAGCCAGAATTGCCCTTAATAATGTTTCTATTTAGCACTCGGTTTGGAGGCTTACTTTTTTTTTTAAATAAGCACTAAGTTATTTTACATTTTTTCGTTTCAATTAAGTTGGGAATATAAGGCATGCTTTAAAAATATCTATCTATTAGCATTGAGTAATTTTTAAATCTCTGTTTCTAAAGAATCTAAAAAAACGTACTCGACGTGAACGCCTACTCCACCCCACTGTACCGCTCTCACAGAACTCAAATCAATGCACTTTTCGTTAACCATGTACATGCAGTGCTCACAAATAATAGTTGATCGGAAAATGAAAACGCTCGCACATGAAATGCGTTCTCGCTGAGCGGACAAGAATTTCCACTGCGCTCGTTTATTACGTGCGCCCTTTCTGCAACTCAAGCTTTCCATAGTATGTAGTTAGTTTCGTATACACTGCCCCCCCCCTAGAGCATTTTAAATATATATGTATGCACGTTTTCTCACGTCATCGAATGTGCGTGTGTGTGTGTGTATGGGCTTGTGCTTTTCATTTTCAAACAGTTTCAGTTTCAAAAACTAAACCTCAACGTTTCAAAATTAAAATTTTAGTGCTCATCAACGGCAACAGTTGATATTTTGACTCGGCCAAGTTAAAAACGTTTTTGAACACACACGAAACGCCATCGCGTGCAAAGTGAAAATAGTTGTTCGTTGTGTATCGACGCGGCAGATTACACACGGCACACATTTTGAATTGTACAAAAAAGTGTATTGAAATTGGAAATTGAGAAACGGGCGATTTTTAGTTGAATCGTGCAGTTGAAGTTCAGTCGGTCAATCGGCGTGTACGGAAATATACTTTCGGACATTTGTTGGAATTTGCTAGACGGTGAAACGGTTTTGAAATAACTGCATACAAACATATGTACATAGATACTCGTAAATAGATTTATATCTGCGTGCTACATACACTGCCACACACGTAATTCGTAATCGACGGTATAAGCGCGTAAATCGGACGGTTTATTTATTTTCGGTTGATTTATTGCTACTTTTTAGAGTTTGGAAAATTAGATAGAAAGTGAAGGAAAGCCTTTAGTAAAAAAAATGGCCGACGTTGAAATTATGCAAACCGTTTCGGAAACGAAGAAAACGAAGAAAGTTAAGAAAACAACAAAACGACGCGAATCTGAAGTTCAAATAACCGAAGTCGAGCATACCGATCAAAATGAGGAGAAGGGGTAGGTGTCGTCTGGTTTTGTGGCAAAGTGCATATGCATTGGAAAAGCGAGATATTTGAAGTTATTGGAGACTTTTTTTTTTGATTTGCTTTGATTTTCGCTTTGGAGTTGTGTTGTGCGAATTAAATACATATGTACATGTCAAGTGCTCTTTCAGTGGGAAACGTAGTCGCATTAAATGAAAAGTTTATTGGTTAAAAAGCTGCCTAGGTGTTAATGTTTTAGAAAACTTGTGAAGTTCAATTTCACCATTAATAGAAAGCATCCACCAATTTTTTAACTTTAACTTAATAAATCTTTTTACCTATTTACATATTTGTGTGCTTTGAAAATTGTATGCTTCGAAAACAGTAAAAATACATAGTTTTCAACCATTCGAGAACTTAAGAATGCTTAAATATTATTTTAATATCGGAAATGGGGAAAATGTTTTTTTACTGAAAAATATTAAACAATTTTGATTGTATTTCCAAAAACGCATAAATTTCTGAAACTTCGAAAACAGTTTTGAACAATTAGAGAACTTAAAAATGTTTTTAATCTTAATATTGGAAAGAGGGAAATGTTTTTAGACTCAGAAATAGTAGAAATTTTTTATTTTATTTTTAAAAACGTTCAAATTTGCAATACTTGAGGTTTATAGACTTTATAATTCTTTTAATTTCAAAATAAAAATATTTCAAACTTAACCGGGAATTCTTTTTTATATTTAATGAATGTTAAAAAATTTTATTCAATGTCTTCAAATAGGTTTTATTAAAGAAATTAAATAAAAAAATTTAACAAGCAATACATCAAAACTTTATTTTTTAAATTTAGCAATACTGAAACTAATTTTCACGATTTTGTATTTACTTAATTTTTATAAATTTTATAAATTTCAAATTTGAAAAAAATCACTTTCTTAGTTTTACGATTACAAATATTTAAAAAAATTTCACAAATTATTTCCAAAACTTAAAAACAATTAAAACAAAATTTAGTATTAGAAAAATATTATCTAAGATATCTCAAAAATAATGAATTTCAAAATAGCTTTAAATATTTAGTTAGTTAATAAATTGGCTGCAACTGAAACAAGAGGCACTGGGACCTGGAAGAATACGTCCCAAACCCTGACAGTCCAAACCAGTAGCAGCTTCCCTAATTAATGATTTTCTGACATTACCTTCCAAGATCAATGCCTAGTAATAAGAGGTTCCCCTGTGGATGAGCTTCATTCGCGTAGAATGTGCTCTGACGTCCCTTTATCTTCAAGACATGAAAGGAATTCCGTCTCTGTGGTCAGACCACTCCGGTGCATGGAGAGCCCAGATGGATTTGATCGACCGGCTGGATAATCTGTGAACAACCTAATGTTGGAGCTATTCAAAATATTTATGTATGCTCTGTTTAGCAAACCAAAGGGTAACCAAACAATCAGACCTATCTAAGGCTAACCATCGCTCACCAGTAGTTACTGCGTTCTGAGTCTACCCCCTCGATAATCGTAGAAGTAGGCCAGTAAATTGTTCAGGATAATGATCCTTCCCTCACCAGTCCGCCGGCGACCACGTTTCCTTCGATACCATAGTGAACTGGTCCCTGAGTGTATTTTATCGTTTCCAAGAGTTGAAGAAAGTCCTTGTACAGAAAAAATCTTTCTTTTGATTGTTCTTCTGAAGAATAGCGCCAAATATTTCCAGATATCTTGAGGAGTCCCAGAAGCGAACCTACGGCCGCGGTTTAACAGATTTTTTGTAGCTCTTGTAAATCTTATAAAAGTTTTATGTAGCGTTTTTCGCCACCAGACTGCTGTCATAGGGTATAGCCACTCTATAAACTTATAGCTCAGACCCCAATTCCGGGCAAAAAGACTTTCATAAATCCGAATGACTCGTGTGGCTTTACTAAGAGTTTTGTGTAGAAGGGAACTCCAACTTTGTCCCTTATCGAGGGTATTTTCAATAGCTTTAAAAAGATTAAAAAAAAATCAGAATTTTCAAAAAAAAATTATAATGGTATGATTATACAATTTTCAATACTAAAAATTTTACGAATTTTAAATGAGCTCCAGGCCACACTTTAATAAAATTGCAGTTTTATATTACATTATTAAGGATAAAAAAAAAATGAAAAAGTTTCAATATTTTTATGAAAAAATTATTTTTTGAATTTTTTTACATTTTTTTACTCTAACTTTGCTTTTGAAAAATACAAAAAAAACCATTTTTAATACCCTTTAAGTTTAATAAGAAAATGATTTTTAAGATTTTAATTCAAACTAGAAGAGTTCGGATTTCTGTCATTAAGAGTAAATCGGAAAAATATTGTACAACTGCTTACATTAAAATGTGTTTATACATATCGATGGTCCTCTGCAATAACGGCACAATTCAAAATTCCAGAAAAAAAAGAAAAAACCCCTTACTACTGTTAAGTATCTCAAGTCTCTAATCTTTGCCTAATCCATTTCTTCTCTTTATAACTTCCTTTAGTAATCCTTACTACTTACTTTAGTAAAAATTGGACATTGTTTTAATGCCGTTGATAAAATTTTTAAACATTTTCATGCAGACTTTTTAAGCTTAAACTCCTCTATCATGTGTCTTTTTTTGGAAAATATTTTTTAAAACCAATTTTATTTTTGGAAAACTCTATTTTTATAGGTATTTTGTAATCGGTGCAGCTCACGCAAGTCTTTATAGAGATCTATACCTCCGCAACTTTCTTTGGTGAGGCACCCTAACGTACATAGATAAATATGTTTCTAAGTACATAAACAATTTAAATTTGTGTGCGAACAAGAAAAAAAAGCGATTTTCATGCCCATGCCCAGATCGTCTTGCAGGCTAGCAACCTCATAGACGATGAGGAAATCTGCGCTAAAAATAAGTTCAGCGAAAATCTAAACAAATCTAATTTCCCTCGAAAACTAAATTTTATTAATGGATTTTTAATAAACACAAATAAATTTACTCAAAGCCACAACGATTAAGAGAATTGATATGTATTCATTAACGCAGCAGTGCAAGTTCACAGAAACAAGAGGAAAGTAAACAGAAACTAAACGATACATACAAACATGCTATGTACAATTACATATATATATTTATACAAAACATAAACTATTCAGGTTTAGTAGACAGATTTATATATGTAAGTAATAAAAATTACACAACAGCTTGCGTAAATATGAAAATAAAAACTGTAGCATTTTAATTGCTTAAAAATATATACTGGGTAGGGCTATGAAATAAATTTCAAAACAGAATACACCAAAAAAAAAAATATTTAGCCAAGGCGCAAAATATCTGAAGCACTCCAAAAATACTCCAGAAATGCATTTTGCACAAACAAAACGACACGTTACTCCTTTCCTCCATGATTAACGCAAAAGGTACAAAAATTATTATTATTTTTACAAGTGTACTTAACCACAAAAACACAAAAGGATACTCGCATAAACAAGTGCAGCATACCAACATGACAAAGTGTTTTTACAATATATACAAAAATAATAATAAAAACAAGCCCACAAAAAACCACCTCTACACATACTACAATACAGATAATGTATTGCTCAAAATTAAAGTATTGCACTTAAAACATGTTACACTGCAAAAAAATTACTGTACACCGTACAAAGTAAAACAAAATCGAACAAAAAACAACAAATTGGTTTTTCGACTAAAATCAAAAGGTTAACAAAAAAACCTGTTCGTTCGTACAAAAACACACACAAAACACTGCAAGCATAATTAACATTTTAAGCAACGTTTTGAAGTCAGACTCACAGTTTTTGATAAAAAATATTCCATACAAATCCATACATAAAAAGTGCATTACTCACATACATATATTACACTGTTGAACACAAATTTCAAATGCAATTAAATCTCAGTGCATCCAGCAATTGTTAATATCGAAAATTATTTATTTGCCCTTTTCAGTTAATTTTCAGTGGCGAATATACGAAGGCCATGGATAAGGATTGGCATTCGGGCCATTTTTGCTGTTGGCAATGCGATGAAAGTCTAACTGGACAGCGTTACGTCATTCGTGACGATCATCCGTATTGCATTAAATGTTACGAAAATGTATTCGCCAATACGTGCGAGGAATGCAACAAGATCATCGGAATCGATTCGAAGGTGAGTAAATA